ATTCAGTTCCACTTCGGTATAAATATAGATTTAATAATTAAGATTAAATATAATGTGTGATTTCACGCACGCACGCACGCACGCACGAATCAACAAATATAGATTGTTTCCATTAGAATGTATCCATTACATGTAAATTAGATTCCTGTATTGTATTCCTATATTGTGTACTCCTGTAGCTTATAGTCTCCATAAAGTTTGGAAAACTTTCAAAATTAATCACGAAGATCATATCTAAAATCGGTTCTCTTTGCCAGGGCTTTGAGAAACCCTTCAAGGAGTTGACCAAAATGAACACTGGCGACGCTCACGCGATGGGTCAGCAGCCTATTACGTTCTTACGGCAGGTGCTTACCCTGACAGTCTCGCCGAATTTGCTCAACGATCCGGGCTACCCGGAGGATGCAAAGAATCGCGCCCGAATGATCCTGAAAAATTGCAATGGCGGCAGCGTAGGCTCGTACTCGGAGTCGGTCGGTATCGAATATATTCGCAAGCATGTTGCACAGTACATTCAGGAACGAGATGGCGGTATCCCTTGCGATTATCATAACATTATCCTCTGGAACGGCGCTTCTATCGGTATTAAAGTATGTAGATTTCAAGGTTCTCTTGTTATTTGAAAAATCGTTTGAAAGCAATCTACCCAGTAAACACAAAGTTATATGTTACAACGTTATATGTAACGTACTGTTAATTTTTCACTTATGCTCAATTTCTTCATTTCCAGATAAGTTGCGGATAATCTTTTTCAGGAGGTATCTCCATTGTACACCGAGAGATATCTCTTGGAGATATCCCTCAGTTATCTAGAAGTGAAGAAATTGGGCATTAATAATATAATTAACTGTAATATAATACATGTGTTATATTACAGTTATACTGTTGAGTGAAAAATTACGACTAACAGGTACATATGTTGCATGTAATTTTGCGTTTGTTGGATAGTTATATATGGATAGTATATTTAATAAATAATGTTCTGACATGTAAGAATAAAATAGCAAATTTGAAAATGAAAATTAATTTTGAGTAAATAATATTGAAAAAATTGAAAATTTTTTTAATCTTATTATTCCACTTTATTTTTTCTATCATAATAATGAGCATGAAGGGTTATTTTATACGAATAATTATATATATTTATATATTAAACCAATTATTTTTACACACACATATATAATGCACGTTATACAAAATTAAAATTGATGTTTTAAACTTTGGTATTTTATAGACAGACTGAAAGGATAACAGCTGATTGACGTTCTACTATATTTTCTTTTATCGTAGCTTGTATAAGTTTCTTTTCAGTCATTCCTAAATCTATTCAACGAAAGGCTCGACGACAAACCATCCGGCGTGCTGATCCCATTTCCGCAGTATCCTCTATACTCGGCGACCATAACGGAGTTTGGTCTCGCTCAGATCGAGTACTATCTGAATGAAGACAATAAGTGGTCGCTAGAAGTCAGCGAACTAGAACGAGCATTAAGAGAAGTCAAGGATATGTGTAATCCTCGCGTGTTGGTGGTGATCAATCCCGGTAATCCAACCGGTCAAGTGTTGACTCGCAAGAACATCGAAAACGTCATCCGCTTCGCCCATAAACATCATCTGTTCTTACTGGCCGACGAGGTCTATCAGGACAACATATACGACAAAGACAGCGCATTCCATTCCTTCAAGAAAGTTATGACGGAGATGGGCGAGCCATATTTAAAGATGGAATTGGTATCATTTATGTCCATCTCGAAAGGTACGCGAAAAAAAAGTTTGAGAATCGAAACATTTTTAGAGATAGGAATCGCTAAAAACAATTTATTTGAAATATTAGACTTTCAAGACAATTTAATCAAGGGACATTGAATTCTTAAATTATGTCCGTAATAATTTATTGATTTAGTTGAAACATTGAACAGGAATATTTGATTTGAAAAATTATTGAATTTTGATTATCAAATTAAATTCATGAATAGATTTCTTAAGAAATTTCAGAAGCATTCCGGGCATTTTATTTTCAGGATATATGGGTGAATGCGGGATCCGTGGTGGTTACGCTGAAATTATCAACATGGACCCGGAAGTGATGAAGGTGCTATTGAAGTCGATCTCTGCGATGCTATGTCCTACCGTGCTCGGCCAGGTCGTAACGGATGTTGTGGTGAATCCACCGCGACCGAATGAGCTATCGTATGAGCAATTCCAGAAAGAGAAGAGGGAAACTCTACGCTCTCTAGCAGAGAGATCACAGCTCGTCGTTGACACACTCAATAGTATTCCAGGATATAAGGTGACTGTTCTTTTATAGGATAGTCAAGAAAAATTGCGCTGGACAGAGTTTTTGCAATGTCTTTGCTTTTCCTTTTCAGACGAATCCGGCGATGGGTGCGATGTATACGTTTCCACGTTTCGAACTGCCATCGAAAGCAATTGAGGCGGCGCGAGCGAAAAGCCAAGAACCAGACGTTTCCTACGCGTCCGAACTATTGGAGAACACTGGGATTTTAGTGATCCCGAGTTCGTGCTTCGGCCAGATACCTGGTACAAATCATTTCCGCACTACAATACTGCCACAAAAGAAGAAAATCAAATCAATGCTCGAATCGCTGAAGCAATTCCACATTAAATTTCTCGAGAAATACAGTTAAATAATACATTTCAATAGTTGAGAGAAAATTGAATTATGGAGAATAGGAATTAAATATTAATTATCCATAATGAGAGAAATGACTTCCTACGACTGTGCATATCCAAGTGAGAGTTCAGTTTTTGAACACTTAAGAACGTAACATATTTTTATTATGATTAATAATTTATTGAGACCGGTTATTCATTGTTGGTTCTTATTTTTAAATCATTTTAAGATCGTCTTAAGTAATGTCTTAAGAAACCTTTTTATTGGTTTATGACATCTTAAGACTGAAATATAAAAACTAATCAACTATAAATGTCGGTCAAATAAATAGTTATTGCATACAACGTTATTATTGAGTTTTGTAGAAATCTTGATAAAACTGTAAATTTGTATATGTAAATGTAAATAAAAAAATTAATTATTGCTAAAGAATTTGTATATATCTGATAGTTTTTGTAAATCAACAGAGGTCGATATTACGTAATAATTATTAAGAAAATAGGTTGAGTATATTAAATTTCAAGTTGCCGTATTTTTTAAAATGAAATATAATAAAATATGACATAACTATATACATAATACACTCCAGAAAAAAAGAGAAAGACAAAAGAGAAAGAGAAAGGAAGAGTGTATGTTAATTATAATTGTTTGTTAATACGTAACGCAAGGGCAAGACGTATATTATAAAGCGAGAGACGGAAATGACATGCTCCGATTACCTGCTCATCCACGTGCACTTATATAATGCGCTGGCTAATATATTAGCAATAAACGAAAAATACGCGATCGCGACAGTGTCATTAATGCGTTGGAGCAATGACAGCGCCGCGAGTGAAAAGTCTTTCAAAATAAAGGTAAATCACGTGTTACGTTATTCCTTTGACTAGCCCTTTATGCTTTGCGAAGAATATTTCACATGATGATATGTAAACGGTATTCATAACTCGATAAATTTTATAATTTATAATTTATAGAGAAGAAGATTATTTCATTAACCGGAAAAAATGCTCTAGACTATCACCCGAGGCTTATCACAATTTTAAATACAACCTTGACCAAAAATATTAGGCATTTACATTTTTTTATTTATCTGGAATTCTTTTACATGCATTGTTACTATTTTGGTTATCAATATCATATATAAATTTAAAGTGTTCTTAAAACTAAGTATAATTTACAGTAAATATCAATCTTTTTAAAATTTTAAATAGTGATTAATAAAGAGCCTAATATTTTTGGCTAAGGTATTTTTGTATAAGATTAGGCCGTATACATGCTCGTTATATATCGCCAAAGATCAGTGGAAAATTCCAAGTATTAGAAATATAAATGTGGTTATTAATCAGCATATGGTGTTTTAATCACATGAAAATTATAATTAATAATAAAAATAATTATTATCATAATTACATGTGAGTAATTATCATCATTATTATGATTGTGTTGCGATTATAGTGTTGCGATTAAATATATAGATTATATATTTAAACAAAATTTTTCAAATAATTTTTCAGAATTTTTATGTAGATTTTAGAATTTTTCAAAATTTCTGAGTCATTTTATAATTTTTTTAAAAATTCCTCAAATTTTTTATGCATATTGCAACATTTTTTAAGTTATAAAATATATTTTGATTTCTAATTTTTCATTTTATAATTTCTTATAAAATCTCATAAAAAAAAAGTTTAAGGTATTTTTTTTTTTAGAATTTATATATATAGATAATATATGTGAATAAAAATCTTAGAATAAGTAACTGCATATGATCTATCTAATACAGTTTATAATTTTTTTCTAACTTTTTGTTGAGTGTAAAATTGAAAACTGATGGTCAGATTCAGAAGAAAAAACATTTTTGCAAAAAAAAATATCAGACACATTCAAATATTAATTTACATGGGTGCAATAAACATTTTAAGAAAAAATAGCATTTAGGTATAGTAAATCTTAAAATCACAATAACATTATAATAAGACCACATGTATAATATTATAGTCATCTTTTATAATTTATCTTTTATTATCTACACTATTCCAATACTATGTTAAATAATTTAGAAACAAAAAAGAAACATTCTTAATTATAATATGTGCCTGCTAAAAAGCGACACAGTGTGACACAATGGATCATTATATACATCCTTATTGTTTGCCAATGTTAAACAAAGATGACATGATCACTGTGTGTCGCACTGTGCCGCTTGTTGGAAGGCACACATTATAACCTACGATTTCTTTTCTCATTTTTAGATCATTTTTGTGTTATTTCTATCATACTTTTAAAAGATAAAAAAGATTATAAAATATTCTTATGACTTTTATATTCTATCTGGGGATGGTGTGCTGATCGGGATGACGAGGTAGGGATGAACACACAAGAGTCTTCTGCATCGATGCGATTACAGCGATGTCAGCTTGTGTCTCGGCATGGCATCGAACGCAGTGACGATGACGGCGACGTCAAACCCACGCAATAAGGTTCTCACTGAGGACAATGTCTTCGTGAACCTTCGCAAAATGGAGTACGCGGTGCGCGGACCACTGTTCATCAGGGCACTGGAGATCGAAAAAGAGCTACAAAAAGTAAGTATAAAATGAGCCGGAACGAATCGTTTGTCAAGAACCGTATGTCATTCTAGAGCAGAATTGAATTATCTTACATATGCAAAAAAAGGAATGATATACAGTGTGTCCCAAAATTCACGACTTAAAATACTATAGCAAAAAAGTTTTGGTAGATATAATAAATATAGACAAAATACAGACAAAAAAGTAAATAATAAAATAGATGAGCGCAATCCAAATTATTCAAATTATATTAGCATATAAATATTTGTTCAGTAAGTATTTAACTAAATTATTTCTTTTGCAAATATTTTAAGATGAAAACAATTCAAAGATAGCATATAAACATTTAATAAACATGTAACCAAATTATTTTTTTTGCAAGTAATAATGTGAAAACAATTCATAATGTGCGCAAACTATTATTTAGCTAACATTAACAAACAATTAATGCGCGAATGTAAGATAACGCGTATCAATGCAGCAGATATTATATTCAAGGTTGGAAAGTAATCCGTTATTTTCCATCTATAATTGATTCAGTTTTTATCTAAACCCTCCTTTAGCTCCACTTCGGTGCAAATGAAATATTGATTGTTTCCATTAGAATGTATTCATTAGATATAAATTAGATTATATTGTACTTCTGTATATATAACTTATACTCTGTATCCAGATAGCACAGAGAGTTCAAAAGAGTTCAAAAAGAATTTAGTGATATGTCATCAATTCTGAATCATCAATTTTTTTCAAAAAAAGAATTCTTTTTGCATCTGAAAATAAATTCAGAATTGATGACGTCACAAAATTCTTTTTAAACTCTTTATCTGGGTAGCTTATAGTCTCCACAAAATTTAGAAAAGTTTTAAAATTAAACTCGAAGATCGTACCTAATATCATTTCTGTTTACAGGGCGTTGAAAAACCCTTCAAGGAGGTGCTCAAAATGAACACTGGCGACGCCCACGCGATGGGTCAGCAGCCTATCACGTTTCTGCGGCAGGTACTCACCCTGACGGTCTCGCCGAATTTGCTCAACGATCCGAGATATCCGGAAGATGCAAAAAATCGCGCCCGGATGATCCTGGAAAATTGCAATGGCGGTAGCGTAGGCTCATACCCGGAGACCAGAGGCATCGAGAGTATTCGCCAACACGTTGCGCAATACATTCAGGAACGTGACGACGGTATCCCCTGCGATTACCGCAATATTATCCTCTTGAACGGCGCTTCTATCGGTATCAAGGTACGTGCATTTCAAGGACCTCTTCTTGTTATTTGGAACGTCATTTAAAAGTAATCTACTCCGTAAACACAAAGTTACGTGTTGCAACGTTACTTTTCTAATTTATTTTTTTCTATCATAATAATGAACATGAATAATATTTTATACGAATAGTACATATTTATATATTAAATCAATCATTTTTATATATACAATATGCACGTTATACAAAATTAAAATTTGGCATTTTAAACTTTGGTATTTTGGGCAAACTGATAAGATAACAGCTGTGAACCTTATTGAAAAAAATCACATCGCAAAGTCGCGAAATGAAATCATGTAAATAAGACAAGTAAATTACGTAACGAATTGTCCCAAATCATTATGTGATTTTTTTAAGTGACATATTGTACGAATTTGCAAAAGTATCACATGATGATACGTTTTTTTTTCTTCTCTATTTGTATCACTCAATTCTTTAAAATTTGATAACTACAAAATCACATGATGGATGAAATTATTTCTATTATCATATGATTTTTCAAATAACGTAATTTTTAAAAATCACATTGATTTGAAACAATTCGTTACGTGATTTATTTGTCTTAATTACATTGTAATTAATTATCGATCAACTTTGTGACGTGATTTTTTTCCAGTAAGGGAATGCTATACTTTGTCTTCTTTTACCTCATGCTTATATGATTTTTTCCTAGTCATTCCTGAATCTATTCAACGAAAGAATCGACGACAAACCATCCGGCGTGCTGATCCCAATTCCGCAGTATCCTCTATACTCGGCGACCATAACGGAGTTTGGTCTCGCTCAGATCGAATACTACCTGGATGAGGACAACAAATGGTCGCTAGAAGTCAGCGAGCTAGAACGAGCGTTAAGAAAAGTCGAGGATACATGTAATCCTCGTGTACTGGTGGTGATCAATCCCGGTAATCCGACCGGCCAAGTATTGACTCGCAAGAACATCGAAAACGTCATCCGCTTCGCCCATAAACATCATCTGTTCTTATTGGCCGACGAAGTCTATCAGGATAACGTATACGACAAAGACAGCGCATTCCATTCCTTCAAGAAGGTCATGACAGAGATGGGCAAACCGTATTCAAAGATGGAACTTGCATCGTTTATGTCCATCTCGAAAGGTGTGCGAAAAAGAGTTCGCGAATCGAAACATAATTCGTTAAAAATCGCGAAGAGCAATTTATTTAAAATATATTAGACTTTCAAGACAGTTTAATCAAAAGATGTTGAATTCTTAAATATATAGTCGAAAATTTATTGAGTCAAAACACCGAACATCAATATTTGATTGGAGAAAATTTTTATTACTACATGGAGAGAATCTTTTGTTAAAGTTTACCCTGAAAATATGATAGACGTGGGACAACATTGTATTTCGAAGAATTTTAATGTAAATCTCTCTCATTCATTAATAAACTATAATACAATAAAATATAAAATAAGTTTGATTAATTTTACCACAGTTATCGTGTAGTTATCAAGTTAAATCCATGAATAGATTTTTCGGGAAATTTCAGAAGCATTCCGTGTTGAAGCATTTCGGTTTTAGGATATATGGGTGAGTGTGGGATCCGTGGCGGTTATGCTGAAATTGTCAACATGGATCCGAAAGTAATGAAGGTGCTATTGAAGTCAATTTCTACCATATGTCCTACCGTGCTCGGCCAGATTGTGTTGGACGTTGTAGTGACTCCACCGCGATCGAATGAGCCATCGTACGAGCTGTTCCAGAAGGAGAAGGAAAGAATCCTGCATTCACTTGCGGAGAAATCACAGCTCGTCGACGACATACTCAATAGTATTCCAGGATATAAGGTAACTATCCCTTCGCGAAATAATTAATGAAAGTTATTCGATATTTTTACAATATTTTTTTTCTTTCGAGCCCAATCCGCCGATGGGTGCGATGTACGCATTTCCACGCTTCGAACTGCCATCGAACGCGATTGAGGCAGCGCGAGCGAAAGGCCAAGAACCAGACGTCTTCTACGTGTCCGAATTATTGGAGAACACTGGGATTTTAGTGCTTCCGGGCTCATACTTCGGTCAGATACCTGGTACGAATCATTTCCGCACTACGATACTGCCGCAAAAGAAGAAAATCAAAACAATGCTCAAAGCACTGAAGCAATTCCACATCAAGTTTCTTGAGAAATACAGTTGAATAATAGATTTCCGGTGAGAAAAAAATCGACAAATTATGAAGAATAGGAATCATACAATGACCTCCTACGGTTGTGCATATCCAAGTGAAAGTTTAATTTTTGAACATATTAAGAACGTAAAATGTTTTTGTTATGATTAATAATTTATTGATCGATATTCATTGTTGGTTCTTATTTTTAGATCATTTTAAGTTTGCCTTATGTAATGTCTTAAGGATCGGTCCTCTTTATTGGTTTATGACATCTTAAGACTAAAATATAAAAAATTAATCGACTATGAATATCAATCAAATAAATAGTTATTGCATACAACGTTGTTATTGAGTTTTGTAGAAATTTTGATAAAACAGTAAATTTGTATATGTAAATGTAAATAAAAAAATTAATTATTACTAAAGAATTTGTATATATCTAATAGTTTGTTAAAACCAACAACGATCAATATTACATAGTAATTAATAAGAAAATAGGTTGAATATATTAAATTTCAGTTAAGTTGCTGTATTTTATTTTAAATAAAATAGAACATATTATATAATTTCATAATAGAAAGAAAAAAAGAAAAAGAGTGCACGTCAATTATCATTGTTTGTTAGTACGTAACGCACAGGCAAGGCGTATCTTATAAAGCGAGCGAAGGAGATGACCTGCTCCGACTACCTGCTTACCCACGTGCACTTATATAATGTACTGGCTAAAAATATGATACCAGCGATAAATGAAAAATACGCCACCGCGACAGTGTCGTTGGTGCGTTGGAGCAGTGACAGCGCAACGAGTGAGAAGCTTATCAAAATAAAGGGTGAGTCACATGTCGCGTTATCCCTTTAACTAGCCCTTTGTGCTTTGTGACGAATATTTCACACGATGATGTGTAAACAGTATTCGTAACTCGACACATTATATAATATAAGATTATTCCATTAACTAGGAAAAAATCTCTAGATTATCATCCGAAAGTTATCACAATCTTAAATACAGCCTTGGCCAAAAATATTAGGCATTTACATTTTTTTATTTATCTGGAATTCTTTTACATGCACTATTGTCAGTATTATATATAAGTTTAAAGGATTCTTGAAACTAACAATAAGAATAATTTGCAGTAAATATAAATCAATTTTTGAGTGAAAATTTCAAATAATGATAAATAAGAAGCCTACTATTTTTGGCTAAGGCTGTATATAAGATCAGGCCATGTATATGCTTGTTCATACATCGCAAAAGATTGATAAGATAAAATTCAAAGTGTCCGAAATGCAAGAGTGCTCATTAATCAGCATATGGGGTGCCATAGTAATACAATTATTGGCACAGTATCCCAATTAAGGAACACATAAATTCAAGAGAAAAAAATGACTTTATTTTGACGTCATGGAAATCAAAATGATGATTTTTTTTTACAAAATTTGACTTTATTATCGTTAAGTATCAAAATAGTCATTTTAATTTTTGGTGTCTTTATTGAGATTAGTTCAAGCATTATATTGGCCTAAATATTAGCCAATTGCAACGTTTAACCAATAAGTCTGGTGTTGCTTGAAATTTTCAAAAAATTTTGCGCTTAAAGTGAGATAAATGAAATAAAAGAAAAAAAACGAAGATATTAAGCGCAAAAAGTGAGAAACAATGCAAATAGAATTAATGTATCGTAAATAAATTATTATTGGGGTATTCACGATCGACGGACGTTCGTTTGTCGTGAACGTTGAAAATCCGACATATGATCATCGCGGCAGATTATTTTCGTCATAGACGATGACGTAGCGCATCTTGTTATTCGTGATTTGTATCAACTAAACATGAGATAAAGTCGCGAAGGGGCTTGCATCAGTTCATAAGTCTGTTTCGAGGTTTATAGTACAAAGATCGTGATCTTGGTGACCGGAATGATAATTTTCTGAATGATAATTCTGATTGCACAACTAATGCCAAATTTATTTCTCCGTTTCGATAAGTTAACGTATTTGCATCTGAAATGTGCACTATAAAATACATTGCGTGTACAAATCTAATAAAATATATATCTGAATGTGTTATAATAATATACTGCAATAAGTTAAGTTATTTACTAGACCGCTACATGAATAATTCAAATAAATAGAGAAAAGGTTAATATGATCGAGATTTTGGAGAGACTGTAATCATGTTTGTAAATAGAAATTTTAATTAAATTTTTAGTTATAATAATATGTATAAGTTCTTCACAGAGTTTTAATAAGATGCATTATAATATCAAATCGACAAATCAATTTATAATTGTGATATTATTATTTCAAGTTTATGATTATGTTTCGACAGTTTATATAACTAAAGAATGTATTTAGAATTTGTATTTAAAAATATTATTATCAAAATCTATTCATACTAGCTCTTTTCTTACTTATTTTATGTTATATATACATATATATAATATAAAATTTTAAATGTGATTTTACGTCCGAGGAATCACACAAAAATCATGATTAAATAATTTCATTGCCGTTCTTTCACTTTTTTGAATTCGCTTTGAAACTGATTTCAAAAATAGTTGTCGATTCTCGATCCGTGGAATAGTATCAAATGATAAACAATTCAGACAACATGCGCAAGCGCACTTTGCGAATCGCTCACTCGCTTGGAAGTTAATTTTTAGGAAGACGATCCAGTGTTATCGCGAAACTCGTTTCTTGCACTCGACTCTACAAAAATTTTGGGTGTGTAACTTTCTGACAATTTCATACTTGAAGTAATTATTGTGGAATCTGTTATCACAAAATATGTGTAGTAACACAAAGCTCCTATTCAATGTTATTATCGGAGAACAGACGAAAGTCAAGGATTCCAAGAGTATGGCCAATATTTATAGTCAGTTTTTATTTTTAAAATTGTCTTATACATATATAAGTACAGAGTCTTACAATAGCAATAGCGATAGAAATAGCGATAGCGATAGAAACAGAGAAATTCAACATACGGGAATGCATATGTCAATGCACATAAAAATATTTTGACAATAATTTAACATATACATTTCCGTATGTTGGATTCCTCTATTCCTTTCGCTATCGCTATTGCTATCGTTATTTTTATTGCTATTGCTGTTGCCTTCGTATTGTGTTTAGGCCTTTAAGATGCCATAAAAAATCACAGAGGCGCATTGAAAATCTTCAAATAAGGTTTTTAAATAATAATCATCTTTCTCTCTCATTTCATTTTATTTTGTGTACGGTAATTTAATGTTATGTTTAAAATCATCTCGAGTATGATTTCGAAAAAATTCCCATCAAACACTGAATATAACTGCTATATAATGTAAATATTAAATATAGGTATGTATTTTATGTGAGTATACTCCAAAAAATGTGGATATAAAATTTATATCCATTTTTAGAATATATATTGTACAGCAGTTATCTTCTGTGTTTGCTGAGAATATACTGTTATTTGAAGGCTCTGCTTTCGCATTCTATTTGCTTATACTCTATATCACAGCTATTTATTTACGTTTCATATATGCTACATATATTTGCTTTTTGCGTTTGGTTTATCGCTTTTGCCGTATTTTATTTTGTCCACATTTTATCTGTTTTTAATAATTATGTCATATTATTTTTTTGTATATTTCCTTTCTGTATATTCCTTTTTGTATATTTTCTTTAATCTCTGATAGGCATCAAATTAGTAGTTTTACCGATCCCTTTATAATACTTTTTGTGTGCACACGTCTGTCTTATGTAAATTACTACGAGTCCGTGGTGATCCGTATCAGCGAGCGTACATAATAATCGATACACAATGTCCGTCTTACACATCTACGTTCCACTTAACTTTATTTATTCTAATGGTTTATCATACTTATGTGGACACACTTGTTTGAATAATTTACATATGATTTTTGAACTTTTTCAAGAGATACGAAACACATTTGTCTGTTCAATCGTATGTGTATAATATCGAGTTCTACATCAAGACTGACCCAAACTGTGATTATAATGAATATGCGAATATTTCCGATAATTAATTTTGTTTGCGATTTTTTTTTTGATAAGTTAATATCTGAAAAGGGTTCGATCCGGTAGCCGAAACTTGTAATTTTTATCTCTCTTTATTTGTATTATATTCTTTTAATTGTGTAATTTTTTTAAAGAAATATGTTGACTTTTACTTTGCCCTTTATTTATTATTGTTTATTAAATTACTACTGTTATTTTATATATTTAATAATTATTAAAATGCTGCTAAAATATACCTTAAAAGAGAAAAATTGTTTCGAAATATTGGAAAATATAAATAATAAATGTTAGCTAATTAGCATATTAACACTATGGTGTTGAAAAATAATTTCATAAATAATAATTAGAGAATTCGCTATTTAATAGCGGAAATATTAAGAAAGGTCATTATACAATACTTACAAGAGCGATAATATCACTTTCTTCTTCATTATTTGATATTAATGGGATGTGCAAAATGTTAATTGATGTTTTTTAGATAGAGATTTTCCAACATATCATTTGCAGTATTTAAAAATAATAGTAATTTTTCATTATTTTTGGAAACGATTTGCCTCAGTTAACATACAACTAAAATTATACATCACAATTCCATTACAAATATATCAAGGAAAAAGATAAATTTGATTATCTCTCTCTCTCTCTCTCTCTCTCTCTCTCTCTCTCTCTCATGGCTTTTATATTTATTATTGTTCCAACATAAACACACTCTTATGCCCGTTTCTACTAATGTAGATTAACTTTCTCGTTTCAACTTACTCTTTATCTTTTCCTAATTATAAGAATTCAAATCAAGATTTTTCTTTTCTTTTCCTAATTCTTAGAGTTAAATAAAGATAAACAGTATCCCAAGAAACACAAAATGACTATTTTAACGTCACGAAAGTTAAAATGATAATTTTTTTATTACAAAATTTTACTGTTTATTGATGTTAAAAACTAAAAGAAAATCATTTTGATTTTTTATTGTTGATGTTGACTTTTTTGTGTTCCTTAGAAAGTTAAATTAAAGTTAAAGTTAATCTTGTATAGTGAAATTGTATTGTATAGTGAAATTAAACTTAAATCGACCGAGTATTCAATCTCTTTTTCTTCTGTCTTTTTTCAGCAGAACGAATCTCTCTACCCGGCCGCATTCGTATTTACGCGGGTCATCTCCGTCACCCGAATCGTCGACATCGTCGGCGCGTCCCCAGGTGGCGTGCCACTTGGATCGAACTTCGTACCGCCGTTAACATCGTTAACTCTCGAACGACCTCCTCCGCTGTTTTCTCCTGCCTCCTCACCGTCCCTTGCATCCAGTATTCGCTGCAATCGCTGAGCGTCGAGCAAACAACGTCGAGCGACGCGGTGTGCGTGCGTTGCGTACATAATTTCGTATTCCGCGTCGATTCTCGTTCGACTCGCCTCGATTCCGCTCGCGCGCGCGCGCGCGTGCGCATCCCGCCACGCGTACTGCAGTTTTCGCGGAGTCGAAGAGCAGAAGAGTCGGCCGCACCGGAGCTAGATCCGCTCCGGAGGAATTTCGTGCGGCGATGAGCGACGCGAGATAGAGGAAAACGTAGACGAAGGGGAAAAAGCGGACGCTGATTAATCAGCGAGTGATAAACGAAAGAGAAAGAGAGAGAGAGAGAGAGAGAGA